TGTGCAAGCCATGTAGTACAAAGTAGTACTGGGAAGTAGTTTGTGCAAGCTTTGTAGTGCAAAGTAGTACTGGGAAGTAGTTTGTGCAAGCTTTGTATTACACAGTAGTACTGGGAAGTGCTTTGTGCAAGCTTTGTAGTACACAGTAATACTGGGAAGTAGTACTGGGAAGTAGCTCTGCACGTGTTGAACTTCTGTGGTTTCAGAGCGGTTTCAGAGTGGTTTCAGACCCCTTCGGGGTGTCTAGCTGACCTTGATGAAAAGAACAATTTACAGACAGAAAAGACTTGAACACAACATACAAGGAAATACATTTAAAGAGCAGACAGATAGATAGATAGATAGATAGAGATAAAGCAGCCAACGCGGTCCGGAAGACATGCAGCAGCAGCCCGGAGATGGTGAGCAGGAATGTGTTTCAGAGTGGTTTCAGACCTCTTTTGGGCTTGTTTTTTGGGTACCCCCAGCTTTGGGAGATGAAAAAAGAAAGAGAAAAGGTAGAGAAAGAGAGAGAGAGAGAGAGAGAGACAGAGAGAGGAAGAGGGAAAGAGAGAGAGAGAGAGAGACAGAGAGAGGAAGAGGGAGAGGAGAGAGAGAGCGTTGTAAATGGTGAGCAGCGGGTGGTTTCAGAGTACGTTTTGGGTGCTTGCTTTTCCGGACCGCTGCACGTCTTTCCGGACCGCAATATCTACAATTAGAGTACGTTTTGGGTGCTTGCTTTTCCGGACCGCTGCAGGTCTTTCCGGACCACAATGGCTACAATTAGAGTACGTTTTGGGTGCTTGCTTTTCCGGACCGCTGCATGTCTTTCCGGGCCGCAATGTCTACAATTAGAGTACGTTTTGAGTGCTTGCTTTTCCGGACCGCTGCTCATCTTTCCGGACCGCAATGTCTACAATTAGAGTGCGTTTTGGGTGCTCGCTTTTCCGGACCGCTGCCTGCCTTTCCGGACCGCAATCGCTACGATTAGAGTACGTTTTGGGTGCTTGCTTTTCCGGACCGTTGCACGTCTTTCCGGACCGCATGTGTTTCAAGTACAATCTGTTTTGAGTCCCTTCTTTTGGATGTCTTAAGAACTAGGTAGCCCCATAACCGGCCCCAAAAGACGTCTGAAACCAGTTCGACACATCTTCCTGCTCACCGTCTCAAGACTTCTTCTTTCTCTCTGTCTCTTTCTCCCTTCTCTTCTTTCTTTTCCCGTTTTTTCCTGTTTTTTCTCCAAAGCTGAGGTAGCCTACGGACAAAAAAGAGGTCTGAAACCACTCTGAAACACCCCGCTGCTCACCATTTACAACGCTCTCTCTCTCCTCTCCCTCTTCCTCTCTCTGTCTCTCTCTCTCTCTCGCCTTCTGTTTGTCTCCATCTTCCATCTTCCTCTCTCTCTCTCTCTATCTCTCTCTCTCTCTTTCCCTCTTCCTCTCTCTGTCTCTCTCTCTCTCTCTCCCTCTCTTTCTCTACCTTTTCTCTTTCTTTTTCATCTCCCAAAGCTGGGGGTACCCAAAAAACAAGCCCAAAAGAGGTCTGAAACCACTCTGAAACACCTTCCTGCTCACCATCTCCGGACTGCTGCTGCATGTCTTCCGGACCGCGTTGGCTGCTTTATCTCTATCTATCTATCTATTTGTCTATCTATCTATCTGCTCCTTTTTCTTTGGATGGCCTATTTACCACCCTGGTTATCTATGTTTATCAACTCGAGATATTAATATTTAAGATCTAAATCAGATACGGTAGTAGTAGTAGTAGTAGTAGGTCCTAGTAGTAGTAGTAGTAGGTCCTAGTAGTAGTAGTAGTAGTAGTAGTAGTAGTAGTAGTAGTAGTAGTAGTAGTAGTAGTAGGTCCTAGTAGTAGTAGTAGGTCCTAGTAGTAGTAGTAGTAGTAGTAGTAGTAGTAGTAGTAGTAGTGGTAGTAGTAGTAGTTGTAGTAGTAGTAATAGTAGTGGTAATGTTGTAGTAGTAGTAGTAGTAGTAGCAGTAGTAGTAGTAGTGGTAGTAGTAGCGGTAGTAGTGGTAGTAGTGGTAGTAGTAGTAGCAGAAGTAGTAGTAGTAGTAGTAGTCGTGGTGGTGGTGGTGGTAGCGGTAGTAGTGGTAGTAGTGGTAGTAGTAGTAGCAGAAGTAGTAGTAGTAGTAGTAGTGGTGGTGGTGGTGGTAGTAGTAGTAGTAGTAATAGTAGTAGTAATAGTAGGAGTAGTAGTAGTAGTAGTAGTACCAGTAGTACCAGTAGTAGTAGTAGTAGTAGTAGTAGGTCGTAGTAGTAGGTCCTAGTAGTAGGTCCTAGTAGTAGGTCCTAGTAGTAGGTCCTAGTAGTAGGTCCTAGTAGTAGGTCCTAGTAGTAGGTCCTAGTAGTAGGTCCTAGTAGTAGGTCCTAGTAGTAGTAGTAGTAGTAGGTCCTAGTAGTAGTAGTAGTAGTAGTAGTAGTAGTAGTGGTAGTAGTAGTGGTAGTGGGAGTGGTAGTGTGGTAGTAGTAGTAGTAGTAGCAATAGTAGTAGTAATAGTAGGAGTAGTAGAAGTACTAGTAGTAGTCAGTAGTAGTAGTAGTAGTAGAGTAGTAGTAGTAGTAGTAGTAGTTGTAGTGTTTGTTGTTGTAGTAGTAGTAGTAATAGTAGTGGTAATGTAGTAGTAGTAGTAGTAGTAGTAGTTGTAGTAGTAGTAGTAGTAGTGGTAGTAGTAGTAGTAGTGGTGGTAGTAGTAGTAGTAGTGGTAGTGGGAGTGGTAGTGGTGGTGGTAGTAGTAGTAGTAGTAGAGCAATAGTAGTAGTAATAGTAGGAGTAGTACAAGTAGTAGTAGTAGTAGTCAGTAGTAGTAGTAGTAGTTGTTGTTGTAGTAGTAGTAGTAATAGTAGTGGTAATGTAGTAGTAGTAGTAGTAGTGGTAGTAGTAGTAGTAGTAGTAGTATTAGTAGTAGTAGTCGTCGTCGTAGTAGTAATCAAAATGTTAATTAAAATAGTACTTGTAATAATGATAACAATAGTACTTGCGCGTACCTTGGGCCGCCCTTGCGCGAAACTTGCGCGATGCAGGTTTTAGACCATGGGAAAAATGCGAGAATAGGTCCTTTACTAAAAACGTTTCTGGGGTTTTTGGACGGCTCCCATTTACACACAGCAAGCTTTTACACACACAGGGGCTTTTACACAGAGAAGTCCTTACACAAAGGAGCTTTTTACACACAGAAGGTTTTACACAGAGAAGTCTTTACTCTAAGGAGCTTTTGCACACAAACGTCTTTTTATTGCCAAGTTGCAGGAATCGCTCTTGCCTCTTCCAGTCGTGTGATCTGGAGAAAGAATCTATGGTAAATCAGCATACGGCCGGTTCCACGCATCAGCGGAACGGCCACACTCCGGCAGGCTATGGGCAAAACGTGCGAAAACCATAAGGGTCTCATGTGACACCCATGGCCGAGCCCCTCTAATTGTTCCGTAAGGGAACTGTACACCGGACCAACTACATTTTCTGGCCAAAACGTCTAGGAGCTTTTTCACACAGACCTTTTTACACGAAAAAGGCCTGACAGAGAGAGTTTTTACACACAGACGCGTTTGCACATAGAAGCTTTTACACAGAGAAGCCTTTACACAGAGGAGCTTTTACACACAAAAGCATTTACACACAGCAAGCTTTTACACACACAGGGGCTTTTACCAGAGAAGTCTTTACACAAAGGAGCTTTTTACACACAGAAGGTTTTACACAGAGAAGTCTTTGCTCCAAGGAGCTTTTGCACACAAACGCCTAGGAGCTTTTTCACACAGAACTTTTTACACGAAGAAGGCCTGACAGAGAGAGTTTTTACACACAGACGCGTTTGCACACAGAAGCTTTTACACAGAGAAGCCTTCACCCAGAGGAGCTTTTACACACAAAAGCATTTACACACAGCAAGCTTTTACACACACAGGGGCTTTTACACAGAGAAGTCCTTACACAAAGGAGCTTTTTACACACAGAAGGTTTTACACAGAGAAGTCTTTACTCCAAGGAGCTTTTGCACACAAACGTCTAGGAGCTTTTTCACACAGAGCTTTTTACACGAAGAAGGCCTGACAGAGAGAGTTTTTACACACAGACGCGTTTGCACACAGAAGCTTTTACACAGAGAAGCCTTTACACAGAGGAGCTTTTACACACAAAAGCATTTACACACACAGGGGCTTTTACACAGAGAAGTCTTTACACAAAGGAGCTTTTTACACACAGAAGGTTTTACACAGAGAAGTCTTTACCCTAAGGAGCTTTTGCACACAAACGTCTAGGAGCCTTTACACACAGAAGCTGTTACACAAAGAAGTCTCTACACAGATATATAGCTTTCACACACAGACGCGTTTACACACAGAAGCTTTTACACAGAGAAGCCTTTACACTTTACACAGAAAGTTTTTACACACGGAAGCTTTTACACACAGCACTTTACATTTTACACAGTTTACACTTTACACAGACACACGGAAGCTTTTACACACAGTGAAATCTTGACACAGACGTTTCACACAGAGAAGCTTTCACACACAGAAGCTTTTACACAAAGAAGTCTTTACACAAAGTGGTTTTTACACACAGAAACTTTTACACACAAAAGCTTTAGACAGAGAAGTCTTTGCACAGAGGCGCCTTTACACGAAGTAACAAGTTGAAATTGGCAACAGTTCTTCGGGAAAAACCCTTGGCAGGAGCTTTCGGGAACTCACTTGCTCCCCAAAAAAGCCGTCTATTTCCAACAAAGTTCCTATTCGATGAACTTTTTTCAAAAAACATAAGGACTATATTTCTGAAGCAGGTCCCCATCCAAAAGCTTTCAAGCCCACACTGCGATGAAATGGAGGGTCGAGAAATCTGGCGGAGCCGACGAGGGGCGTCAGCCCTTAAATAATATATATAACTATCTCAAACTGCCCATATTTATGTGCCAATGGGAATCAAGATCTTGACTTGACCATATTGTCATGGCAACCGCAGTGGCCATGGTGCATGGTGCACAACGTCACGAGCTGCGGAGCTCCTCTATGGTGCAAAGTAAGGATTGTCACTGAGAGCCTCGGTGCTGAAGCTTAAATCCCAGAACCACAGTGATGCTTGATACTTCACTGTAAGCATGTCGTAGGTGGTGTAGCTAATGTTCCCCCTCTCAAACCTCCATTTTATTTCATCAATGTATACGTCCACAGGGCCCACCAAGTTCCAACCTTCAGCATGTTCTGTGCCGCTTCTGCACCCGCATTTCGGTGCTTCCGCACATCAGCCTGGCTTTGCCAAAGCGCAGGAACTGAAAAAAGATCACATCAGCGGCCAAACATGACAGCAACACCCTTTCCTTCTCGATGTTTCTCAATGAGCTGAAATTGTTTATCCTGCCGGCTGACCAACTGAAAACATCTTGAAAGTGTGTTGCAAAGTTTCAAAGGGGCTTCCAATTCCCCTCGAGCTGAAAGGTGTTTTTTGGGTGCACAGGTCTGGGCGTTTGTAGGTGCAAAGGTCTTGGCACTTGGTGTCCAAATGTCAACCAAGCCACAAGCCCTGTGCGGCCATGCGTGTGTCACACGCATCAAGGTTGTGGTGTAAGTCTGATGATTTCCGATTCCAAACAACTCTTGTCCAGCTTGGCCCTATGCTTCTTTCTATTGGAGGGTCCAAGTGATCAAGGTTATGTTTACTGTGACAATGGACGCTCCTTTTCTTCTTCTTTGGATTGTCTGAGTCGTCGCTATCGCTGCCCCTGAGCCATCAAGGCAACTCACAACACTGTAACCAGCCTGCGGTGTCCGTCTTATCCAAGATCCAAAGCACGTGAAAGACAGGCAACCATGGGTTCTTCCAAGACTTCAATTGAGATCATGCATGAATGCCTGACTATACAAGACTGTGAAGCTTGACGTGGTTCGAAGATCCGACTAAGACAGGGTCGACGAGGAGGAACTCTTGGGCTTTTCCTTCTTTTTCTTTTCCTTTTTGTCCTTCTTGGGCTTTTCTGTCGCCTCTGAGAATCAAGTGGTGCACTCGCAAAGCTGCTGTCGCTGAAAGTATTGTCAGGTTCCTGCAAATTGAAAAACAAGGATTCGCCTCCTGACGGGGCTGCAAAATGCTGACACGACTAGCCAAACTCAAACATCATGAGGTTCAAAACCAATGACTGACCCCAAACAGATCCAGAAAGGCAGAAGAGCGAAAGAAATAACAGACCTCAACTACTGTACTGTATCGTATTAATATGTATTAATTATATGTATTAATAGCTTCCACACAGGATACTGCTGGTTCTGTAGAACATGATGAACATGGTGCTGCGACACTAATTTCCAGTCTGCCTGTGGAGCCTGTGGAGCCGCAGTCACTGGAATGGTTGGCTTCACCGGAGGAGGCGTTGGCACCTTTGGTGGCCCTTGTGGCCCCTGTGCCTGCGAAAATGTCGAAATGTCGAAATCAGATTGAGCTAAGCAGTCTCGTCATATCTTGTCTTTCCACAGACTGAAGCCATTGGATCCTAAGGCAGCTGCGCTGCGGAGGGCCTTGCTCTTCTCATTGTCGGAATCCGAGTCGATGACCATCAATGCCTCCGACATCGCGGGCTTCTCCGCTGGCTTTTCAGCGGCCTTCTCAGTGCCTGAGACTGAACGAAAGATGAAAAAAGTGTGAGATCCAAGGGTTAGATCAATCATGATCAATCTATATGAATCTATATCAGTCTGATCCAATGGTGGGTCCTTCCAAAGTATTTTCTCCGTGTAGCCAGTCCGACCATCGGTTCCACCTTTAGATTGTTTAAGATTCCTCGTTTGTTAGTGTGATGCCGCCTGATGTGAGTTCAACATCCAAGCCCTGCCGAAATTTCTGTCTGTGGTATCTGTTGGTGATGGAATTATTAAAAAATTGCTAAGTCAAAATCCTGGCCCTGGTGATCCCCCAAATAGATCCAAACAGCCGGTTCACTAAACAATTGTACTTCTAGGTATTGAACCATGTTTGTCCAGTTTTTCCCATTTTTCTCCAGCTTTGGGAGAATGATGCGAATGATCAACTGAAGAATGTGCTGGCCTGCATCAGCTGCGGCAACATCAGCTGCTTCATCAGGCTTGCCCGCCTTGCTGTGGAAGTCTGCATTTCGGAATTGAAATCAGCTCAAGGCGTTCTACCGTAGCTATCCGTAGCTACCCTTCTACGAGAACATTGAAGTTCTTGCAGGCTGAAGAAGCCAAAGGTGCCATGAGCTGAATCCATTCAATTCAAGCCGAGGAAAGGCAAGAACCACGCAGTTGCTAGGGGATGTGACTCAATTCATTCTCTCACATCATGCACCGCTCCATAGTGGAATTGTCGAAACCATCCAAAGCAAGGACTAGGACCCTGTTGATGTGGGCTCGTGACTCAATGTTGAGAAGGAATCTCAAATCTGATCCTGATCCAACAAAAATTCAGGCCTGGTTTAATGGTTCCCCACAAGTACCATGTGAGGCTCACTGGCCCCCACTCAGCTCAGCACCATCTGCGCCAACATGTCATCTGCAGACGTCTTTGCGACACCTACTTTTCTCGACAACCGGATAGTATTCTCTGGTAATTAAAGGTTTTTTGCAAAAATGAAGGATACCGGAATACCCTAGTTTGTGGCCATTTTTGAAAGTAAAATGATTATCGAAAAAAATACTGGATATGCAGTACCCTATTCTGTTGGACAAACCCATAAAATAAACCCAATTTCGCTCGGGTTCCACGGGTCAGCTTGCTGAAGAGGGTAGTCCTCCCGTCAAAAAGTGGACAGCATGAGGAGGGAACTCAAAAGTGTATATTTAAAAAGAAAATCTATATGACTTGTTGACCAGGGATACTTGGGGCCAGTACCACGCAAGGACGAGGTTTCTTGCTTTGTCAAGTCATGAAGTGATCTTGTACTGAACATACCTTCATTGATCACAATCATAATATCCTGAAGGTATCATACTACTATGACTTCATATGACTTCCATGGCACCTGGAGCCACCGCTTCTGTGGTGCCGTTGGTCTCCGTCATGGCGCCGTTTCTTGGTTCACTTCCCCGGTTCGTGCAGCAAGAAGAGAGGTCTATGATGAACGGCTGGGGAAGATTTGGAAAATGTACAGAATATGTCTCACAAAAGTGAGGATGTCTCATGGTTTGCTATAATATGTATATGTATGTGTATATATATATATATACCTTTGTACATATATGCTTAATAAAAAAATGTATATACATTATGTATGTATATTGTTTTATATGTGTATTCCGCTGAAATCTGATGATCCAGCTGCTTCAAGGGGGGCGCTGAAGCTTTACACCTGCAAATGTGCTTTAGGTGGAAAGGAGGGAAGATGCAAACTCGCCAAGATAAATGGTGCGGTTTCAGCACCAAAGGGGAGGGCTAGTAACCATGTGCAGATACCTCAGACTGCCCTTTCTTCCCTGAGCCAAACTGAAGGCAGTGGAGTTTCCTCGAAGACATGTAAAAAAATGTCTTAAAACTTAAAACCCTTGCAGTTCATTCCAAAGCCTCTCGAAAGGTCGCTGGAACGGCCTCATGGCGCAATTTACAGTAAAATCCTGTAAAATTATAAAAGTCAACAAGATCGACCGAACATGGGGAGGACAACTTGGCGGAGCTGGTGTGTCTCAGTTCCTGTTTTGGCCGCAGAGCCGACTTTGGCAGTTCGATAGCTCCAACTTTGGGCTGGCTTTCAGCTTCAAACCCAAGCTCCTGCTTCTTCAAGGACACAAAAAAAAAGGTGACTTCCCTGAAACAAAGATGGAAGCAGGACAAAACCACATCAGGCAGATACCGTCCAATTTCAGGCTTGCTTCAAACAAGTATATAATCTTTGGTCCGTTCCTCTGCTCTTTTGAGATGCTGAAAGCCAAGAGCTATTAGCCGCACAGACGGTTGTTTTTTTGGCTGTCCTTGCTATGTGGAGTATCCAAAAAGTGGGCGGCCTAGATTTAGGGGTCCCCATTACAGTCTACAAGAATTCAAATTCTAGCAGTGCTCAGGTTGAGTTTCAGGAACTAAATCATGATACAAGGACAGCTTGGGCCAATTTCAATGGAAGATTGCAACTACGCTGCAGCGACTTCATGTAAAGGCAAAAGAGAAGCCATTACAAGTGTTGAACTCCAAATAGATTCTTTGCCTGTGCACACTACCCATCCACACCATGCTTCGTCACATTGCCCCGTTGGTACTGGCTCAGCTTGCATCCAGCAGCTTACTTCACCAGCCGGCGCTCAAACAAATGATCAGACCTTGGTGCCTGAATAGTCACTTTGTCCTCCGGTTGGAAATGGTGCAAACACAATGCCGAAAGAAAATCGCAGAATACATAAGATTTTCCTGATTTTCCTATGTGAGAATTCATCAAAATTGCATAAAATGGCTACATGTCCGCTCTCCAGTTTGGATCTGTCCTTATACTCGCCATGGCAAAGAGGTGGCGGACCTGCAGCCTGTGAATTCAGCTGCTTCCCCTTCTGGTGGGTTTACAGTCAGGCTACGCAGTTACATTTATTGGTTCCTAAACTTAAAAGAAATGAGCTGCAAGTCTGCAAGTTTCTACGAAACACATCGCGCTTTGCAAAGACGCTCTGTCACCTTGCAATTAGATATGGGGGATAATGCTGTGCATGTAAGGATTTCAAAAGTTCGAGAAACATCAATGCAAAAAAAACCAATGCATCCTTGAATAGGATGGGTTTAGTTTCCCACAGAGATCATTCAGGAGCAAGAGAATACAAAAAAAAACGTTGTTACAAGTTACAATTATATAATCTTAATTACATGATCATAACATTACATAATAGCTAAAGATAGCTAAAGTATATCAGACCAATCAGGTCATGTCAGGTGACACTGGTCATCTCCCAGAGCTCGCCTTGAAATCGACCATGCCGTGGTCGCCAGCTGGTTCTTCTGACCACTTCCCTGCGATGTTTACTCTGTTGGATGGTGAAACTCGGTGAAACAACCGCTCTTAAGACTCAGTGGTCTCAACATGTCTTGACACTGTCATGATCCATCATAGTCCCATGTCCACACTAATGTTCCAAGAACTGTCACGTTGCTCTCCTAGAAGATAGCGAGCATGAAATCAAGATAAATCAAGCATGTCACTCAGCCTGGGGAGACAAATCGACGCCTTTTTTCTTCTCAGAGGATCTGCTTCTTAAATCTTAGGCCATCAAAACCATGCTGAATCTATTGCAACAAAGGAAAGGCCATCTTTGCTCAGTACATGGCATGGCCAAATCAAGATGTATTCCACCAATTTCCACCATACTGGAAGCATCGATGTATCGGACCCTGGAGGAACCAATACAAAGTCACCACCGGCCGCGCTACCTGCATGCTGCCCAAGTCGAATTGTTGCACCTGCAAGGGAGCCACGTGCGCAGTGTCCATGTTTTTAGACTTCTGAACCCCGTAGACTTCCCAGCCATGCCATTGACAGGGCGATTTCAACAAAGGCATAAAAAGGGCATTGGTTGGCTTGAATTGATTGCTCAATATTTTCATGTCAGTGCACTCATGAAAACCATAGCACAATCTGACTCTTGTATGATCCACAGAATCCTACCAACATGCCCGTGTGCGGCGCATGCGACTCTCCCTGATTTTCACCAGTTGCCTCTGTAGCAACAATCAAAGATTGCCCAACCTCAGCTGCAAAATATCTCTCCCAAACTTCTGGCGACCAAAGACATCCACATTCTGAGTAGTTGCAGGGTCGTGAGGGCGTGCGCTTGCTGACTATTTAAGTTCAGGCTTATGACAGCCCATAGGACATCAATGGTGCTTCTCAAAATGGATACCTCCCCTCTGTCAACTAGCCTCTAGGGCCTCCACCTCCAATCACATCCACCAAAACCATCCATCAACTATCATCAACTATATGTGTATACATATGTATATATATATAGATAGATAGATAGATAGATAGATAGATAGATAGATAGATAGATAGATAGATAGATAGATATAATATATATATATCATATGGATATCACATGGATTCTATCGTGCCCATGACATGATTTGGTTCAAAGCCAAACGATACGCCGAAACGACGCAGCTGAGCTCTGGACCCATATCAACCAGGTCATTGCTCTTAGAATCCAGGGGGTCCTCCATGGCAAATCCCGCAGCTTGTGACAATAATATCATATAATTTATAATGTCCATAGTGCCATAGTGAACATAGTGATACATCATGATAAATCATAATTCATATATATATAATTCATAACTAATTCATATATAATAATTCAATATACTGTATCAACAAACAGGTATAATTCAGCTTCTTTAAGGCTGCTCTGGTGAGCAATTCTCAAGATCCTCTCCTGTCAAAACCACTGATTAGTTGAGAACAGGCTTCCCATTAATGGGTTTTTTCGCGTCTTATAAGCCCAATGAACCTGGTGTTGTAACCCCCGGCTACAACTGCAACAAATCAACATGGATTTACTCCTTGAAGACCAGGCGGCTGCAGCTGTTTTCCACCACCACACGGCGGTGGGACGCAGTTCGCAAGACTTGCACCTGATGAAACACGATTGCTTTTGGCACTCCCCATTTTGTTCCAGGATATCCTCCTACACTCTCTGCATCATCAGCTTTCACACTGCTATATTGATGCCAAGAAAGCTACAGTAGATACAAACGCATCCCAACACAAAGTAAGTTCTGACATACACCGGCCTTGCCACAACTGCTGCTGCCGCCACCCATTGCAAGCGCACCATCCTCTCACACAGGGTCGTTTTGCAGGGGCTTTTCGTGCGTAAAAACAGGTGACCCCGAAATCCACTGGAATGCTCCACCATAGTTGGGGAAAACGCTGCAAGTTGGGGTATCCCTCCACTGGACCCATACCAATGTGGTGTGCCAACCATCACTAGGCAAACTTATACCACCAATACCAATTCTATGCCTAGTTTGCCTGGAAGATGGGAGCACTGCAGTGTCTCCTCTGCACCCTCCGCCTCAAGATCTACGTGAGCTTCACTCATGTAGCCAAGTGGAACTCCACCTGCAGATTCTCAGGTGCCACTAAGGATGTGTAACTCAAGTGGAATTGGCTTGGCAAGCTTTGACCCATATGAACTGATTCAACTGACTTGCTGATGGCTCCATTAAATCCATGGGGTTGAGTGTGGCCACCTGTTACTTCATACAGATTCCAGCTGACCAGAGACCCCACCAAGGCACCTGCGAAGACCTGCAAGTAGTGCAAATCCAGCCATGCCGGAACAATGCCTTCGTCCAACAACTTGATTTTCACCTTGGTGGAGGCAAGATATACCGAGCTACAACTGGATCCTTCAAGGAGCCACTGGATGGGATGCATCAAGAGAAAATGTCAGACCTGCTGCATCCTGCTCACTCATTTAACTTCGTCCAAAATGGGGCGCCCCATTCCATCCAGTGTTTTCTTGTCGTTTTCCTGTTTCCACAGTGAAAGTGTCATATATGGTGGTGTTCCCTCCTTCACAGACTGAAATGGGTACCAATAGACGCACATGTTTGAACATGTCTAGCACAGCACCATGTAATTTTTGCAGTCAATCACTTTGAACCAATACCATTCCCCCTCAATCCCAAAATCCATGATTTCGTTTTTGGAGAATCAACAGAACCAACATGAACCAACCATAATCAACTGAATCAGCTATAATGATCTGAAGCAACTTTCAGCAACTGAACTTTTATTCAACTGCATCAACTACACAAATTACACCATCAACAGATCAAAGATCTTCAGACCATTTCCCACCCAGTCTGAAGCTCAACATCTCAGCTGCTGCTTTTCCGATAGCATAGGGCGAAGTGGTTGGCGAAGTGATGGTTTCCTCCACGGTGAACCACACGTAACCCTTCTCCGCGGGCACCTCCACTTCACAGATGAACCACTTGGGAATGGGACAAAATATGGGGATTTAATCAGAACCACCAGGAAAAAAGATGAAAAAAGTATATTCCGCGGTGTGAAAACGTCAGCTGAGTTATGCCGAGTTTGGGGTGAAGCAGTGAAATTATGGAGATTTTTACCAGGAAACATGAGGGCTAAACCAGCATTCAAGTTGCATTTCACCATCATTTAATGGGGATTGGACCAAAACTTGGTTACACCACCAAGAATGGCAAGGCACCGCAACCACAACCACCATAAAACATATTATACTATGGTTTTATGTAACCACCATGTGGAATTAACCATCATTGATTTTGGATCCAATCACATCCAATCACATCCAATCACTATCACTATGGCAGGAAGTGGGGCTCTAAACACCAAGGCAGTGGGATTTCGCCACCATGAAACAGGAGAGGTTCATCCCACCATCGGCCTCTGGATCATCATACTTCTTATCGTTCATGTTCGGCCCCAGCCAGTCCAAATCGGTCAGCATTGCCTCACCCATCCATACAAAACTTGGGTGTATAAGACAGGTAGAACTGTAATGAACTGTATAATCCTGTCCCCCTAATACTAAACGTCCCCCCCAAATAATAAACACCTCAGGTAGTTTTTATTATCAAGGAGTATTTGTTATTAGGGAACCCTAATAATAAATTGAAACCCTTGATTTAAAAAAAAAAACGATTTCAAAATCAATTGAATTTCCTGTTATAACGCAATTAATTTTTTTTTCCAAAAATTGGATTTCGAAGCAGACCCTATTAATAAATTGAAACCCTTAATTAAAAAAACTATTTGTTTCGATTTCAAAATCAGTTAAATTTCTTATATAACGCAATTAAAATATTGCCCAAAAATTGGATTTCGAAGCGGACCCTATTAATAAATTGAAACCCTTGATAAAAAAACTAAAATTTTCACGGACCCTAATAATAAACACCCCGGGGTTGACTAGTTTTTATCATTAGGGTGCGAAACCCACAAATGGTAGCTTTATTTTTCAATTGTTTTCAAAAAGGGGATCAATTATATAAAAGTCAAATTGGCCAACCTGAAATTTTCCAAAATTAGAGATGGACCCTAGTTTTTATGATTTGGGGGGGTTAGTACTAGGGGGAAGGGATTAACTAAGACACATAGAATTTCATAGAATGTCTCTGTTCATCTATGCAGTGTAGCGGGGATCGTGTCCGAATTTGACTGCGCGGGTTCGCGCGGGTTTGCGCGGGTTTGCGCGGGTTTGCGCGGGTTTGCGCGGGTTCGCGCGGGTTCGCGTTGGTTCGCGCGGATTTGCGCGGGTTTGCGCGGGTTCGCGCGGGTTCGCGCGGGTTTGCGCGGGTTTGTGCGGGTTTGCGCGCGTTCGCCCGGGTTCGTGCGGTTTCGCCCGGGTTCGCGCTGGTTTGTGCGGGTTTGATGATGATGATGATTATTATTTTCATGATTATCATGATTATCATGATGATGAGTCAATGACCACAGCAATCGGTTCCGTCTAATGTCTTACAGGCAATTGCAGAGGCGCAGGTCTGCAAAATTATCACTTATGCCAAAAAACAGTCACTATCCACAAGAGCCTGAGCAAAACCATTCCAGAAGCATTTCTTCTTGATGCTTTGGCACTTTTTGGCTAGCCGGATACACCATTCCTCCGTGAGTACTGAGGGCGGAGGCGATTTTGCCAACTGAATCATTTCCTTCAACCTATCCACCAATGACTTATCATTGAAAAGGTGAAACATGGTTTTGAAGAAGCACACCTGGTCGCAAATAACTGGAATGGTTGAGTCCTTGCCAAGTTGTTACCTCTTTCTCCTGTATCACCATGTGCAAGTATATAGTTTTTTGTAATCATGTTTTTTGGTCTGATTCATTGGTGGAAAGGACTGAATTCTCGTGGCTGTGAGCGGGCGAATTTCCAGCCACTTCGCAGTTCAGAATCATAGTACGAAACCTTGCAGCAACGCTGTCCAGGTCATGGAAGTTTTGGAAACTAGGCACCATCAGGTTTTGTTTGGAAACCAGGTCACATGGTTGTATGGTTACTTTATCTTACCACACCGGTCAAACCCCTGAAGACCTGACCACCGACCACTGCTGCTGGAGTTGCCAGTGCTAGCACCACAGGCAGACATCACAAGGGACACCACAAGCACAAGCACCGCAGACTCGGTCCGTGTCCTCTGTGCTTGTGCTTGTGGTGTCCCTTGTGATGTCTGTGAAGAACCTCAACACGAGTGAACCCTCCTATAGGCCTTGAGATTCGCACTATCTTTGACATTGCTTGCTCAGTTGATATTTATTCATAATGACAATTTCCACAGCTGATGTTTAGAAGAACAAGATATACACACGAGATGAGGGATATGTGATCCCCACTATCCATTTATCCACGTATGTCTTTCCCAAACCAATCCATTGAGCTTCAGCTTCAGCTCAAGCTAGGATCTCCACCTGGCTGCAGCGTAGGCTTAGCTTTGTACAATCGCGATAGGAAGCGTCAGCTTTGGAATGACCAGATTCCAAAGGGATCTCATAGGATCCATGGGGGTAATCGGATAATTGGTATCATGGGTATATCATGGGTATATCATGGTATATCATGGTATATCATGGGATCCATGGGGATAAGTTACATGGATAACTAATATTATATACTAATGGCTGCCAAGGCTTGCTCAGACGCTACGACAGAGTGATGGAAGCCCGACCCGGGATTGTGCTCCATCACGCTCCACCTGTTCCTGGGAAACAATGCAACACATCCATCCATATCAATATCAATTATATATGTGGCATCTAATGCTTCATATACACATATATGATTATATATACATATATATCATTATATAAATATATATATGTATTGTCATTATTATGTTTATTCTTCAACGTAACTTCAAAAATCTTCCATACTATTACCTTCTTGAGTTTCTGGGCATCAAACCATGATGTCAATTGCTGTCTTGCAAATTGGGCACTGCTTGTCCAGCACCAAATGCCAGCAGAATGGAATCAGCGGCCTGCAACGAAGCCTCTCCACCTGAGGGAAAGGTGGACATCACCGTGAAAAACACGTGAAACGAATAAAATGATGCTGATGATGATGATGATTTTGATGATGATGATGATGATGATGATGATGATGCTGGTGGTGGTGGTGGCGGTGGTGGTGGTGGTGATGGGATGGTGGCGGTGATGGTGATGGTGGCGGCGGTGGTGGTGGTGGAAAACGATGAGGACGATGATGATGTGGCGACGACAATGATGACAATGATGACGTCAATGACGATGACGATGACGATGAGGGTGAGGATGACGATGAGGACGAGGATGATGGTGGTGGTGGTGTGGTGGTTGGTGGGTGGACTTTTGGACAAGGGCCACAAGTGTAGAGCATTGAGTAGAAACCTGGTGCTCCAGGGATGACAGTGTACAGGCACAACAAAAGATCAAAAAGGACGAGCAAAGACAAAGAGAGTCGCAACACCAACCCTCTTGCGAAGAAAAAGAGCACATCAAGTCATATTAAGTCCCTGGCTGCTGCGGAAGATAATGCTTTGCTCAACAGATCCAACACCCGATAGCTTCATGGGCAGAACCTGTCATGAAGGATAAGCGATTGAGCCTTGCCTAAAAGCAATTCTGTTCTTTCAACAGTGACAAGCACAGAGTTCAGACATACTGCTGGTCATTCGTTGAAGGGAAATTCGCCAGTGTCACCGGCCTTGTTACTGGTGAAGTCAATGGAGAGGCGGTTCTCGAAGCTCGCAGGTGTGTCCGCCTCTATGGAACATGATTTCCCAGGTTCCCAGAGTTTGATCTCACTTGATGTCTAGAAAAAGTCACTTGATGTCCTAGGATATGACAACTTGATGCTAGGCAGCTGATGAGGTCCACACAGCTCGTTGAAAGTTTCCTGCGCTGCAGCATACTCTGAGCGGAGGTAATTGGAAACCTGGAGCAGGAGCTCAAGCTCAAGGTGCTTCAGAGTCAAACAAAGAGCAAACGACGAGGCGGGGTTGTAGGGCCGACAAATTTTTCGTAATCTCCGGCCCGGACAAGAAAAATAAAACGACCCGACAAATAAAGTCGGAATGGTGCCGACGAAAAGGGGCTGTAATTTTTGGGTCTCATATCATTCTCGTGTGCACCTTTTTGAAGAGTTGGCCGCGCCCTGCATCTGCTTTGAGATGGGACGTGCCCGGCATCTGCTCACAACTAGTAGAAGTGGGTCCCAGCTCTCATGGATCATCAGCCTATGATGTGAACCCTGCTTCAACTGTATGCTCGATCAACTGCGACCTGATTGTTAAACAAAACAAACATACGCATCGCAGATAGGAAAAATCACCACATAATTTCCTAAGCTGGCATATGAGCAGATTCCTCGCCCTAATCAGCATATTCCTCGCGTTTGCGCCGACCCTGGAGCATGTTGGTCTGGGCCTGAGTGTTGGTGAGATTCCTCTTACGTGAGGTGTACTTGAAGTCGGCTCTTCCAGGAGTATGCTCATATTTGAGGCTGAAGCCATCCTTTTGCACCAAAAGCCGTTGCTGTTGGGAATGCTTTAGGCAAGCTTCGTTGAAGAGAACGGCAGTGCTAAGGCTTGCTGCTTGTCTTTTGGGCAGATCCAATGAGCAGTTCTCTGCCACTTCCGTCATGCCATCAATGAAGAGACTCATCATAGCGCCTGTGATGGCTGTATCCTGAACAGTTGCCTCAACCCAAGCCCAGCGTTCTGAATCCCAAGACCACAGCTTGATTTTCCCGTCCCCTAACACTTCTACTTGGGTCAAGCCCGACCAAGTCAGGTGCTTCTTGGTCTTTGTGCGCCAAAATGATGGGCACAGAATGTCAGGGACAATGCCCAGCTGCTGGAAGGCGGTCTGTAATGCTTGGCCGTGCCCAGCATCGCGAGCTTGCAATACCTGGACAACTCTTTGAATGAAGCGGCCAACATGTCCTTCGGCTTGCCGAAGCTCACTCAAAAGCAAATCAGCCATCGGAACTGCTGGCGCAGGCTTGCTTGCTGCGGCTAGCCGATCTTTGATATCAGCTTTGGCCCAGTCAGGTTCTGCGTCGGCCCAAACGCCACGCAACTCATTGCCCACTGCTTCATCGTTGTTCGCAGTTGGCCGTGTATGCTGTTCCTCTTCATGGCTCGCAGTAGCTGGCTCCTGCAGGTGTTTCTCTTCAAAATGCTTGCGCAGACTTTCCACGTTTGAGAAATGAATCGGTTTTCGGCTAGCGTTCTTGCAATGTTTGCAACCCACCCATCCCTGGCTTGTTGGGTGCTCACGGAGACCAAGCACAAAGAGCTGCATGATCTCTCGGGTGCCCAGACCTTGGTACCAGCTTGAGCTTTCGAGAAGCTGAATCAATCCGGTGCACTCATCCGCTGTTGGCAACTCAGTATCCAAAGGCATTACCTCGGCAGCTCCCGTAGATACGGCTGCTGGAGAACTGCTCTGGCCCGTGCTCTCATCCAG